CTCTTTCCTGCCTATGCAGGGGGTCGGACTCGATGATCTATTGAGGTCCTTTCTGATCCTAGCATCTATGAATCTATGACTAACTGGTCACAAGCCAGACAATTACATGAAAAAATAAACTCAGTATTTAAAGTGGCATAAAATTCCTGTTGTTAAATAGCAACTGGATTAGCTCATTTAGCTGAATATGGAATGTTGAATATACACTCAATTTATTAAGCTTCCCTAATTTTTAACTTGTCTTGACATGAATAACTGAACTGGCTTGCACAGAAGTTCAAATCAATGGGCACTGCAAGTCCTGAACATCTCTGAAAAATAAGCTGCATAGTGCCTGAAATACTTAAAATGAACATTGCAAGACCATTATATAATTATGCTCAAATATCTCAGCTCATCTGAGAACGCATTTTCTGGCAAGGATATGCATGAAAACTAGTCAGTTCAGCTACTACTGTGTCCCACCTCTAAACCCAGACTTGCTTCTACAAACCTACACCTCATTTGCAGATTAGCCTTTTTCATCTTATGAGCTAACAAGATAATGCAGCAGGTAGGAGGGTTTGTGAAACAGCGATTAAATGTGCCCTTCTATACAAATTCTGTGTTGGAGGGGGACTTACTCTTTCCTGAATGCAGAATATCAGCAGTATAAGGGAGTACTACTCAACTGCAGCCTTCTTCTGATATATGGAGTATTATTTCTGCTAACATGTCTCAAACAGATCTAAACAAGGAAACCAGACAATATATAATAATACTGACCCAAAACCTAGCAAGTTAAGAGGACTGAAAACAACCTGACTATTAAGTCCATGTAATTAAATGCTATTAATCATCACTACAAAAGGAAAATCTGAAAAACTCAAGAGAAAGGTGAGCTCTCCTATAATAAGAGCAAGTGAAGTTCCGCGATGAAGAGGAGCATTTGCAATAATGCTTGACAATTTTTATATATGAATTTATCAAAGTACTGCTATTACAAGATTAATGCTCTTACTCAAACTGATGCCTTTCCAAGTTAGAAAAAGAAACTTACTCGGGATACTGTATTTCCTTTGTTTATCAATACAGCTAATATAATAGAGACTGCTAAGTTATCTAACTAGTCATACTTATTTCAGCAAGGAAGGTGACTCTATAGCAAAGTGACATTTTATTTTTTAAATAAAACTGAAAAACTCACAAAAAAGACCTCTTGTGGGCTGCTAATAAAATGCTTGTAAAACATTAGTTCAGCTGGAAGGGGTTAACCATAAAACAAGTGCTTTATTAGATTATATGTTTTTTTTGATCAGGCATGTGTTAATCTTGCAGGTAGGAAATGTCTGTAAATAAGGAAAGAAAGCTATATATATTGTTCACTAATATTTACCAGTCATGCTGCCATCTCTATTTATTCCATTATGAAGTTTACAGTGAACAAATGCTGCATCAAACAACCACGATCCAAAGAGGTTCAAGATGCTGTTAACTTTTGGCCTTCGAGGTGCAGGTAGTGGCCGAGGCTCAGAACTTGTCTGGTTTGGGCTCGACAACGGCGAGGTGGAGGATGCCTGTTGCTGCACTTTTGACGTGTGAGTAGTGCTTACCTATTTGAGTAAAAGAAACATTATACACCACTGTTATCTGAAGAAATGTTGTATTTATTCAAACTTATTTTAGTGCTTAAAATATCTTACAGTGCCAGTTTTCACTGTTGCCTTGTTCACAGTCACAGCCCGATGCCTTCGGTTATGAGGTGGAGTTGTGTTGACAGCAGTATTCTGGGGCATACTCAACCTATTTACTGGTGTGGGGGGAGCACTGTCTGACCGAGGTCGTGAAATGCCTGATGAATAGAGGAAAACAAAGTCATTTAAGAGTCCCATGACACAATCTGTATCTCTAACAGCATATTCTGTAAATCAGCTAGCACCAAAATATTCCACTCCCCCACAAGCAGCTATCCTTTCAGTATTAGAAAAGATTTACTTGTGGTTCAGAAAATGATATAAGCTAAAAAAAAAAAATCACTGTTTGTCCAGGATGAGCAAATACTTGCATAAGAAATAAGAGTGGTGAGGACACAACATGTGGGAAAGGGTGACACAGATGACATGTACAAAGCCATACACTTTTCAGTCACTGGTTCAGAACAATTAATTCACTTCAAATTTACAAATAGTGACTGCACTGAATAAATCAATGGTATGTTACCTCCCACTTACAGTATTTACTTGGATACAAGACAACCCTGAATCTAAGATGACCCCCAAATAATTAGATTCTATATATGGAAAATTTATAAATTTGTTCTAATTTTCCAGGTGCAGAAAGTAGATTTGTCTACTTGCATATAGACAAATCACTAAGGGTAAGTTTATACAAAATTAATGCATTTTAATGTGTTGCAAACTCCTGCAAGTTTCAGCAAATAGTACTAGGTATATTAGTCCAGCATCAAAAGGCTCATGCCCAGGGATCCAGGTTTTCTTTTTCCCCACAGAAAAACAGAGAAAAATATGGACTTCCCCGTTTTTCTCCAGGAAAGGGGGATCTTTCATTTTAGTGGAGGAACCCACTGATTTTGCAGTTTTGCAAAGAGCTCTTGCAGACTGGCAGAGTTTCAGCCAGCAGGGAGGCTGAGAGGGAACAGAAGGAGGGTGGTCAGGTAGGGGGGCGCCATGCCTGTCAGCTCTGACAGGTATGGGGGGGAAGGGGTTAGGGCCCCCATAGGGTGGGAGGGAGTTGGGGAGGCCTGGGGCTTGGGCTGCTGTACAGCCGGCAGGTGCACAGGTCTTGGGGCCCCGGTGGGGAGCTGGATGGGGCTGCAAGCAGCTGGTTCGCAGGGAGGGGGTGAGGCTGGCTCCCCGCCG